GAAAGAAAGGGGCAAAGGCGAAGTGGGAGGGCTAGGGGAAAGGAAAGAAGGAAATGGAATTAATAACAGAAAATGGAAAAATGTAAACAAAGTCTTTATAAGTAGGGAGGGATGGAGGGGTTGAAGGGAAGGCAGAGGAAGGAGGAAAAATAAGAACCAAGAGAAATTATGTAAAGGCGCAAATTTCCAATGATGAATGCCAGTATATTGAATACCTAAAGTGTACCAGTGATTAAAATGAATAATTGATAATGCAAAAAAATAAATCAGAATCTCTGTTAACATTGGGCCCACATTTGCACAGGGCAACTGGATCTGTGATGAGCGAATTTGCCACAATCCTTGCTATTCCAAATTATCTTATACCTGGTCACTTTACTTCATGTTACCTGCCTAACTCTTAAAGCTTTTAAATTTGTTGGTCTCCATCAAGCACTTAACAGTTTATCCCAAGCGTCACTTCAGCAGTGTATTTGTTTATGGACTGACTATGTGGATCTTGGTTAAGTGTCATTTATACCAGTCAATTCTTGTATTGAATAAATTTGATAAAATTGTAATTTTTATATTTCCTGCTATATTCTTATAAAAATTAACAAGAAAATGCAATTTTTGGTCATCCTGCATTTAAATAATTGGATTTGTAAGTGGTTAAGGAGGAAAGAAAAAGATTCCTAAAAGAGACAAAGTGATTCTAGGTACTAGAATATTTACCAATTACCTTATATATGAATTTACATAGTAAAGCAATTTTATCTGTCAGAAAAAAACAGTAGTTCAGGTTGGAAACACAGAAAAGTGGAAATTCAGGTCAATGAAGGAAATGCCTTTCCAAACTTACCTGCGAGGCAGGATATTTTAGCTAAAATAACTAGCTATCCATTTAATGTATAGTTCTTAACTGCTAAATTGCTTGGATTTGAATCTTGATTCTGAGACTTAATAGGTCTATTTTTTTATTAGGTCATTTAACTATTCTCTGAATAGTTTCTTCATTTGTAAATCGAGATAATGAATCCTACTTTATAAGTTTTCTGTGATATTCAAATGAGTGACTGACATAGTAAGCTGTAATTATACACACATCACTTATATCTTCATGCCTTTAAATTTACTCTCCAAATAATTATTTGATTCCCCTCCACTCAATCCTCACTAGTCAACCTTCTGTTAGCTTCCCGTATGACATGACTTCCTGTATGGCATTTACATCTTCCAAGGTTTCTGAGGAAGAACTATCTGAAGCCTCTGTGATTTGATCACCTTAGTCTTTATCAATCAGTACATCAATGAGATGTAATACTGCCAAAGATGTAATTCAATGACAGCTTGCAAATTTTTATTACCAGCAACAGTGTTTGCCAATAGATCATTTTCTTAAGTAAAATGACAAAGGATTGAGCTTTTTGAGGCTGTTTTTTTGTTCACCTGCAAGCTAATCAATAGTCATTTGTATATAACAGTTTGAGACTTGGAAAGGTGAATCTTGGGCAATGCATTTCAATGTATGATAAATAAAATTGCTTTAGATGGTACTGATATGGTATCTACTAATGAACTGATATTTACTGGGTTGAACTTATCTTTACAGGGTTCCTGTGAAAAAATACGTACATGGGGTCTTGCTAAACAAAGCATTTGTGAAATTTGGCCATATTATGGTAAGCAAATGGATATTACTACTTTAAAATAACTTTTGCATATTAATTTATGACTTTTGAAAAAGAATTTTTGAGGACTCTATATGTTGGTACAATTAAAACTAGTATGTTTGGAAGTAAATTAAAGTATTTCCTTAAAAATATGGTTGTGTACAAGATAGACTTTAATAGATTTGCTCCAAGTAATTTTCTTAGTTTGAATAAACTCTTCACTCTACATTTCTTATCTCAGTTGGACACAACATGAAACAGTAGCATAAATGTTCCTACTTTTGATTACATGATTTGGGGAGAGTCATTCTGTCTCTGTATGCAGCCATAGAGGTAAACCACTCTAATCTCCCTTTAAAAGTACCTACTCTAAAAATCTCAGATGACTGACAGTGATGAGATGGATCCACTGTGGAATTCATGTCATGCTGCTCCCAACCTTTGACTAAGCATAGCGAAAGGACTGTAACCTGGCTTCTCCTGTCTGCTCAACCTCAGGTGACACCACTAATATAATTCTTCTACAGGCATGAGAGCCACTCCTCCCCAGAGCAGGGCATCCACAAGTAAACTCACTTCACAGAAAAGGAGGTAAAGGAGAGGGTTGTACCCATGGGATCTTACATACTGTATTATTTAGAGTCTATAAGTTCTGTACTTTACTGTATTTTTTAGAGTACTGTAAAATTTTAATGAGTTAGTTCACAGCTAAATGAGTTGCTCAGAGATAATAATCTGCAAGCCTGCTGGGCATGGCCTCAGTATACAGTATAGGCCAGTGGTGGCAAACCTATGGTGTACATGCCACAGTTGGCTGTACTGTTTGTATTGCTGAAAATGCTAAAAGGTTTGCTATCACTGGTTTAGGCACTAAATGAGAGATCTCTACATATCACCATGTCTCTAGTAGGAATACACAGATCTGGAAACCAAAGAGTGAAACCAAGAATGGCCCCATTTACAATCCTTCTCGATGTCCCCCTAGGGAACTTTGTGCTTTGCCACACATCTATGAGTTAAGCAGAATTAGAAATCTTGATCTTCAAAAGTTTCTTGTTTTGCAAGAAGGCAGGGCAAAGAGTCACTGAATTACAAGCACAGGTGAAGGACAATTTTGGTCCTTTGCACCCAGGGATCAGTAGACATAACTGATTAGCCAGAGGAGTTGGGGCTGCTTTTATACACTGGGGACAAAGTAACACACATGAGACTGGGGTGATCCACTTGAGTGCCTCTTGGTATGCCCTCGACCAATGTAACTGTGAATGCACATGCAGCAATGCCAGACTGAAAAGAGTAAAATGACCCAAGGGCTAAGATTCCTTAAGAATGAATGCTTAGGTTATACCAGCTGGTACATCAGGAAAACACACTGAAGTGACAGCTGAGGGAAATCATGGAGGAGATACACTAAAAATTCTTATGAACTGATTTGTACCCCAGCTGTGGCACTTTGGGGTCCATTACTGAGTTTGCCTCAGATCAAGATTTTCCTCCACTGCTCTAAGACAGTGACCTGGCATAGCAGAGGCACTAGAATTTGGAATTCTTCTAATGGACAACTTTGGTTACTCATTGGTCTGGCCAAGACTCAATTACACTGCAAACTGGGACTTTTTCTACTCATCCTTTTATCCTTTTCTGCTTCAACCTGAATTATAATCTGAGTTTCCCTGCCTCCTGCTCCTTTTCCCTAATTTCCTTCATAAGCATTTTCTCCAATCTCTTAGACATTTAATCTTTGATGGCATCTACTTGCAGAAGTCAGTAACTGATCCTCTGAGTATTGTTTCCAAATTTCAGCAAAAGAAAATGATACCCTCATAGGGTGATTTAGGATGATTTAAGATCCTCAATGGGAAAGGAAGATTGTAGTCTAATCTTTAGCTTCTAATAGGACTTTGCTTTTTTTGGAGGGGGGGGGGGTCAACAATTGCTCTGGTTTTGTACACTTTACTCTCTTAAAATTTCCTCCAAAATTTCTCAAATCTAAGAATAACTGATGGCTGGGTCAAAACCATTCTGACTTATGTTAATTTGAGAAATGAAAATGTCCACTGAACAACAATAAATTGGACCTACTATTTGTACAGTGGCTTTGATAGTACATTCAAATACAAAGCCTGTATGGTGATTTGGAGATGAAGGCAGTATGAGGAAATACAAAAGATTTTAAGAAGAGAGAGTACATGTACCAGCAATACATTAAGCAACCCGCAAAATTCATTAATGACAGAATTATAGTAAAAGGTTTTAAAAGGGGGGAAGTTATTGAAAGAAAATTTTATGCAAAGGCTAAAAAAGACCTGGAGGCAAGATACTTAACCCAAAGGTCGTAGAAAAAAGAAGGTGCGCTTGGGTTGAGGAGCAACACAAGCTAAAAATTGTGTGACCTTAGAAATCAATTTATGTAGTTCAAGACATTATTGTCTTGCCTCATGGTTTGCTCTAACATCTTGTGTCTAATCCATCTAATTTTATTGGCTCTACATTCAAAAACAGAGCAGCAATCCTCTCACTTAACAAATCCATCATCTTGGTTCCTGGCCTCATCATCTCACTCCTGGATTATTACAATGGCTTCCTAATAGTTTATTCTCAACACTGCAGAGTGTAATCCTTTTACGTTTTAATTCACACCTTTGTTCCAAGCCATGACCTTCAAGACGCCCTATCACTCTAACCTCTGGTCTCACTACTCTTGGCTTGCTCATTCTGCTCCAATTCTGCTGGTTTGCCTTGTTCTTCCACAAACACATAAGGCTTCTAGAGCCTTCAATCTTTTTGTTTTCTTAATGCTCGAAGCTCACGCATATATATATATATACATATCACGGACTGTTTCCTCTAAAGTCAGCTCAACTCATCAATACTCTTAATTCTTCAGTTTGCCTCTCTACCTTCAACTCCCCTCAATTTTTCTTTTTATATAGCGTTTCTTTTTAACCTAACTACTGCCTGCCTTTCCTATCATATAAATTCCATGAAGGGAGTGTTCTGCTTTATTCATGGATGTTCCCCTGTTACTTGCAAGGCACTTAATAAATATTTGGCGAATTTGTCTTCGAAGCTACATTTTTCTTCCTGCAGGGCAACTGCTGTTGGGTTATTAGCCTTAATAAGCTTCCCAAATTCTCAAAACAGAAGGCCTAGGTCATAGGGCTAACCCCATATTTAAAAGTTACCAGAGCCCAGCTGCTTAGAGACTCAGTTTCACACCTGGACTCCACAGGTTTAGAGGACAGAGAAGTCGAATAGCTGGTGTGCATTAGTTTCTTAGTCTGGAGTAGGGGAGCAAACCTGCTTCCTCTCACACAATTACTACTCTCAGCTAGTGTGACTGCTTACTTCAGCAATCCGGCGCCCCGGAGCTGGGGCGGCGCGACGCGGACCTTGCCTTTCCCGGAGCTTCAGTGCCCTCACTTAGGTGGTTAGTCCGTGCCTAAACAGTGTTGTTTTCGGGCCCAGGACGTTCTTGGCCCCAGCGCACAGGCGCCTGGGCAGCATACACTCAGCGACCCGGCGTTCCGCAGGCAGCCGAGCGGGCAGCAGCGCAGGGCTGCGAACAGGCGGCGCGGCGAACACCTGCGCCAGGCCCCCGCGGCGCGTCAGGCGAGCGCTGGACACCTCAGCCCCCAAACGCCCGCTCCCGCCGCACGCACGCGCAGTGTGCCCACGATGAGGGTCGCGGCCTTGATCAGGTAACGCGGCCCAGGGGCCGCCGGCCTCCTCTCTGTCAGCCTTTGGCCTCTTCTTGCAGTCGCCGGCGCCGGGAGAGGCGGGCTTGGGCCGGAGCCGCGGGCCCGGCTCGCCGTGTGTCCAGGCCACAGGAAGAGGCGGGACCTCGGGCTGTTCCCGGCTGGCTGGACTCACTGCGGCACGCCCCGCCCGCTGGCCCGCGGTCCCTCACAAGTGCGCTCCTCTGGGGGAACCTTGGAAAGCGCTGGCGCCTGACCCCGCCGCCAGAGGCGCAGGTTTAATTGCTCAGGGCTTGCGGGCGTCGGGCTTTTAAAGTTCCAACGAGCCTTGAAGTTGGAGAGCCGCCCCTGATTCAACTTCGTTAATAACTCCTGCCTTTTCTCCCCGATTTTCTTCGTCTATAGTTCCTTTGGGTCACTGGTGGTCCTTCCGCCTCCCACTAAAGTCGCCTCTCCCTCGCACATTGGCTCTGCAGGATGGAGGGGAATTGCAACACTGCCTCCCTCCCTGTGTTTCTGCCTTGGACCCCAAGTAGAAGAGCTCTTTTCCCTTGTGGGGACACGGAATTGTACTGTTTTAGGCTAGAGCTATTTCAGTTGCTTCTGGTGCACGATCATAATTGCTTTTGTGACCTTCGGGTGACGTACTTCATATTCCAGAGGAGTTGAAATGTGTAATAACCCATCACATTTGGTGTGTAAATAAATTCTACGACAAACTCAAAACAGGGCAACTCAATCTCTAAATTGGGGTAACAAAGGACACACAATATTGAAAAGGGAGTTTAAACAAGTATTTCATTTCAAGAGATTTGGGTCACGAGTATCTAAGGTACAACTTTTGAAGTACGTTGAAGATCCCATAAACGTGTAAATCACTGCCCAAGATGACTGGTACTGGTTGACAGTACTGACCTATTATAGGCTGAATATGTCATTCCAATTACTGTAGCTATTAGAATACTGTATTCCAATTCCTCTTTAGTTCCATTTTTAAGGAAGTATAAAATAGTCAAAATAAGTATTGTTATTCAGTAAATTTACTCTGTAAAGGAAATGATTAAGTTTTAACCACTGTGGTTTTCAGAAATAATTAAAAGTAGCCCAGGAATGAGTAATTCACATCCACATTCAATTTGCCAAACATTTTAAAGATTAACTAATACACACCTACTAAGGCAGAAATTTGGAGGGAAGGAGAGAAGAGCCACATAATCTGTTACAGCAAATATTATGTGATGTGCATATGTTACTTTTATAATCAAGTTACTGAAAAGAGCAATGTTGGAAAATTCTTGGTAAATGTTGAGTTTTATGTATGTCAGGATCTATGATGTAAGTATGAATACATATATATGTTCATGATACATGTATGCCCGTCATATATGTGTTTATGTTTTACATGTATGTATGCATGTTTGCATTTGAACCTGAACAGTGAATCTCTGTGTTTGTGTATATGTATGACAATGAGAGATAAGAGATGTGTGTGTGTGTGTTTTAGGAATAAATGAAACAGACTTTTAATGCCTTTAGGACATAGAACATTATTTTATTAATTTGTAAACAAGTCATTGAATTTTATAGTTGAATGATACTTGAAGATTATCAAAGTGGACCATTCTCTGGAATGAAGTATGTACACCCAGTGTTGAGTAGCTTGACTTAGTGTCCCAGAGTTGGAAACTGAAAGTCTGATCCGTAGGATTTCTCATCTCATATGTGCTGTACATTTGTACCTGGATATCTGTAGGAGATTGGTTACAGGACCTCTGTGGATACTAAAATCTGCAGATGTAAAGTCCTTTGTATAAAATGGTGCACAGAACCTATGATATCCTCCTATATACTTTAAATCATCTCGATTATTTGTAGTACCTAATACAATGTAAATGATGTGTAAATAGCTGTCATACTGTATTTTAGTGAATAATGACAAGAAAAACATCTGTGCATATTCATCACAATGCAGTTTTTGTTTCAAGTATTTTTATTTGCATTTGGCAGAATCCATAGTGTGGAACCCATAGAAATGGAAGATGGAATAAGGGCTGAATGTACTTATGTACTTCTGGGGTTATATGAGGAGAGTAAGATAGTTGTTTACTTTTGAAAATTTTTTGTTCTTAGAATATGCAGTGAACATTTTGTTAGACATCAGTCCGCCCTTTGCAGAACACGTGGGAAGTAGTACTTAGAATCCATATTTGAGATGTTAGTACATTTTACAATGTTTGTAAATTTATAAATTGTAAATTCTGATTTTGGCTGCACACTCTTCAATCTTTGGTATTTGATAGAATTAGTTTTTTTTTTATTTTGGGGAAATTTAGTGAGGTTGAATAGGGGGAGTTGTGGAAGACTCATTTAGGGGAGTCAACATGAAGAGAGGGAGTGCATGTTCTTTTTTAATACTACCTTTGGCTCTTTGCTCTTTTCTTCTCCCTGAGAAGTTCTGAAATGAGCATTGTATATACAGTGGTGCCTGATGTACTGATAGTATTGATTCTTAACATTATTGGTGTAATTCAGCATTTTGTTTCTTATGTCTGCAAAATCTGAAGGCAAGTACTTCCGGCTTTGTCAACTCAAATTTTTAATTTGATCCTTTAGTTGGTGATAGATAGTAGCCAGTACTTGTTGGAACAGATTTTTTTTTAAACTTAGTTTCATCTAAGGGGTATGTATAGTAAATATTTTGCTGAGATTTAAATAATTTTTTATTGGCAAAGTATTTTGTATGTTAATAAGTGCTTATAAATATTTTGTATATTAATAATAAGCACTTATAAGTAGCAACCTTAGACATTCAGATTCATTTGCTCAGTTTGCTTATGATTTCAAAATTAATTATTGTTACTGCAGTCTGCTTATTGTTGCATTCTTGCTAAAGTCTCATATTCTGAAAAGCTGATTATGATTAAATAATGAGTTTTATTTTAATGTCTAGTGAGTCTGTGTTGAATAATGGTCCGTAACTATTTTCCCTACTTTCCTTTCTCCCTCCCTCTCCTCTGACTCTCTCTCTATTGTTTTATTTTCAGTGGTGGGAAGGACAGCTGTTATAATATGATGCAGTGCGTTGCTGCTGGGCATCAGATCGTTGCTTTAGCAAATCTGAGACCAGATGAAAACCAAGGTAAATATATGCCTTTACTAGGAAATTCTCAAAAGGACTGAAAATTACCTTTATAATCCCATTCTGTCGTATGTAGTAGACAAAAGGGAAAAAAAGAACCAATCCGTATTTAGCCCTGTTAGATGCTAGATTCTACATAGCACTTAGCATTGTTTTTGCCTACATATCTTTTAATTCTCCTAACAGCTAGTAGAAAGAGGTATTGTCAGTCTTACTTTTAATAGACAAGGATACTGAAGCTCGGGTCTTATGTTTGTCCAGAGAGTGGTTAGCATAGATTTTCAAAACTGAGAATTGAACCATCTTACTTCAGAGTGCACTGCTGTTTTACCACACTTCCTCTCCAAGTGTTGCAGGCATTATACAGGGAGATAACATACAGTCTCCTACCTCAGGGAGCTTGAAAATAGCACATATTCTACACTCATAATATGAATGTTACTTTTAAGAAGATGTAGTTTTCTCTGTTTTTGGTGTAAGCCAAAGCCGTGAGACTTGAAAGAATCATAAAACATATATTTCTACTTGTTTATCTATGGTTAAGAAATGCATCCACATATAGTTTGGCTACTTTTCAATTTTTTTTGAAATTTTCACAATTAGAATTTTCAAAACAATAAATATATTTACCATTTGGGTTTTAAAACTCTTTAGTTATATAAACATTAACAAATCTGAGAAAAGAGCACTGATCTAACTTTATCCATTGCTACTTTTTTACATGGCTCTTCTACTAAGACCTTTTATCATCTCCCTCTTTTTAGACTCAGTGCTTTTGCACTACTTTTATTTTAGGATGAATTTAGAGACTAGTGTATGAAAACATTAATCACACTTCGTGGCATGAAGTAGGTATCCTATAAGTGTAGTTGAATAGGAATCTAAAACTGAGTATTTCCCTTCCTTTTTTCCCTCCTTTCCTCCCTCTTTACCTCTCTTCCCTTCCTCCCTCCCTCCCTGTCTCCCTCTGTCCCTCCCTCCCTTCCTTCTCTCTATCTCTTTTTTTTCCTCTCTCTTTCTCTTTCTCTTTCTCTTTCTCTGTTTCTTCCTCTGGCTGCCACTTTCATGTAATTTTGCTTTTATATCATTTTGTAGTTTTCTATTTTTTTTTAGCTTTGTTCTTTATCCCCTAATAGATTGATTATAAGAGATTATATCTTATATCTTCTTCTGTGTGCCCCCTCAACACTTGGGATGTCTCTGTATCTCTCATATGAATTTACTCAGTTTGTTGACAGACCAATGGTTAATGAACTCACTTGAATTAGCTTTGGGATAGTGAGCAGATATTTCACTAAGGCATTTGAATTTTCTATTTTTTCTGAGGTCAAGACCTAATTAATGCTGGAAGACAGAGATGAGAAGTATTTATAGGAAGAAATAGAATAGATTCTCTTTAGAGGGGTAGATGCATACTGTAGGATTTTGTGCTAGGATTCTAATGATGAGTAATGGCTAATTTTAAAGAGGTGTGTATGTTTTTTTACATGGTTCTGACTTTAAATGAGAAAGAGAATACTCTGAGCATGAATGGGAAATGTATTGTGATCTATATACATATTATAAGACAAAGCAAAAGCTTTACCAAAGGAAAAAACCTGCCTTTTCCCTTGCAGCTAGTCAAGCAAGAGGGTCTTTTAAAGCTGTCTTGAGAGTTCTTAGTATTTAAAAAACAGATGTTTATATAATATATAATACATAAATGATACAGCTAAAATCTTCCTCCCTGAAGTTTGTATCTTATCTTCAGCTTTTCTATATGAATTAATATATTTAACTTGTATGTAATCATTAATGTGTAATTTCCACGTACTCTTTGTTTACTGGCAGAGAAGTGACAGGTAAAGTGTCTTGGTTACTTTTCCCATTGCTGAGACAAAATACCTAACACCCACAAGTTAAAGGAGGAAAGATTTATTTAGCTCACAGTTTGTAGAGGCTTCAGTCCATTCCCCTGGCTCCAAGGCAAGGTGGCATGGCAGAGGGGCATCACAGAGGAGAAACAGTCCACAGGATGACAGAGCAGGCAGAAGGCAGTGAGCCTGCCTTCTTTCTGTCCCTTTAATTCCATCCAGAGTACAAGCCTTTTGGGTGATACCACCCACACTTAAGGTGAGGGTTTCATTGTACTACCCAGATTTATGCTGTATGCCACACATCCTTAATCCCAGTATCACACACCCTAATCCAGCATCATACACCAATGATCTAGCCACCTCCCAAAAGCGCCACCTCCCAAAAGCCCCACCTATGAGTGCAAGAGGCTTGGGGGGGGGATGGACATCTAGATACAATCCATAATATAAAGTATATCTTTAAATTATACTTGTTGGTGGAATGGAGACATTTATTTAGAATATTGTTAGTCATAGGAAATGGAATTAACTGAAATGGTAGTAACTGTAGAAAACAATAGATTGCTGTGGGTTGGTAGATGAAGAGGATTTATCTTTTTTTTTTTTTTTGGTACTGGGGATCGAACTTGGGAACTTATGCTTGCGAGGGAGGCGCTGGAACCACTGAGCTAAATCCCCAGCCCAAAGAGAGAAACCTAGGCTTAGAATTTTTTTTTTTTGGTACCAGGGATCAAACTCCGGTCCTTGCGCTTGCGCAACAGTGAAACCACTGAGCTAAATCCCCAGCCTGAGGATTTAGATTTTACTGATTTAAAGTCAACAGGAAGTTGGGATTATTGAATGGCTCATTGACTGATTTCTTTTCCCTTCAAACATGTAAAAGGAACCTCAGTAAGGAATGACTGTTAGAGATAACTTCATTCCATAGAATGAAGTGTTAAAGTGTATTTATAACATATGGTAAGTTTAGTTTGACTACTCTTCAAGCAGTGAAACCTACATGGGCTTTGAAATTTTCTTTCTTTTTTACTATTTTGCTGATTATTTCTACTTTTAATGTTGCAGAGAGGTCTGATGAACTGGATAGCTACATGTATCAGACAGTGGGTCATCAAGCCATTGATTTATATGCGGAAGCGATGGCTCTTCCCCTCTACCGCAGAACCATAAGAGGAAGGAGCTTGGATACAGGGCGGGAATACACCAAATGTGAAGGTGATGAGGTTGAAGATCTGTATGAGCTTTTGAAACTTGTGAAGGTATGCAGAGCAACCAATTGCATTTTTAAAAATTTAGTGTATAATTTAGTAAATTTTATTTACTGAATTATTTAATAGTAAAGAATACAACTGTTGTGGTTCCACCGCCTGCCTCGTGAGCTAAGGACCCGAGTTTGATCCCTGGTACCAAAAAAAAAAAAAAGAATACAACTGTTGATATCCCAGCTAGTCTTTGAAAAGATATTTTATCTTTTGGGGGATAGGAAAACAATTATGCCTTTATATTAAAGAATGTTTTAAAGTAAGACTTTGGTATACTATAGTTTGGCATCCAAAGTTGTCAAATAATATTGTTCATTCAGTCATTTTTTTTTTTTTTTGGTACTGGGGATTGAACTCAGGACTTGCGCTTGTGAGGCAGGTGGCAGAACCACTGAGCTAAATCCCTGGCCATCCAGTCATTTTTTTAACAAATATTTTTAAATGGCTGCTATATGCTTGGCCCATAGTGCTAAACACAGGGTGGGGCACTGACCAAATCAGATGAAGGTCTGTTCTGATGGAGGATACTTTCTAGAGGGAAGAAAAAGACACAATAAACAACAAAAAAAACCACACTTGATGTTGAAGAATATTAGAAAGATTGAAGTAGTGTCACGGTATAGGGCTTATATATCTAATAGGTACCACACTCAGTAAATGTTAATCAACAAAGGTGATTTTATGTTGAGCAATTATTTTCATTTTCACTGTTAGCCAGCTATTTGAATACAGTTTGGTATTCTTCTTCAATTTGAATTTTTACCCAATTGTCTATAGTCAATTCATTTAAGGTGTACTGTCGAGATAGGGAATTTAAGCCAGTATTTCTTAATATGTTTTCACAAGGAAAAAGAAGAAAGATATCTGTTCTTTCCTGTACCAAAGGACAGGGCACTTCATTTTCTCGCTTTTTTTTGTTTTTGTTTTTGGGGTTTTTTGGCTTTTTGAGACAGTCTCACCATGTAGTTCAGGCTGGTCTTGAACTCACTATGTAGCCCAGGTGGGCCTTGAACTTGTGGCGATCCTCCTGCTTTAGCCTTCCAAGTGCTGAGATTATAGGAGTGCACCACTATGCCTGGCTCATTTTCTTGCTTTTAAGAAAAGTTAGCCTTTTCAGAAGTTTTGTCATGAAACTGTATCATGAAAATTTCTTAGTCTTAAATCACTACATGCTGTTATATTTTGTATTTGATAGTAATCAAAGCTTAGTATCTATTCAGAATTTTGATTGAAAAATATATGAATCACTTAAATTCTTTTCAAGTTTGCTTGATAAATAGTTCTTATTTTATGTATCAGAACATTTTCATTTTTACTTAAACTGATAGGAAAAACACTTTTGTTTAGTTATAGATAGCATAAAAAGTAGGTATTTTTCAAAGGAAATGGCAGCGACGATACATGCTAATTACAACTATTTTGATTATCTAGCAAGAACACAAGTCTGCTTTTCTTGGCTGTCTCTCCAGAATGGTGCCTTATGATCTCAATAGTGTTCACTTTAAAATATGAAATACTGAGTGTAAATCCTCCACTTTCAGGGTACAGAAAAACTTGACATTAAATTTTTAACATAAACTAATATTACAAAATGGTGGGACTCACACTAGATGTTCTTGGTTTTTTTGAAAATCACAACCCTGGTAACTTTAGAGAAGCTATGTAATAATAACAGCCCTCCAAGAAGGGAAAGGCTAATAAAATTACTAATCAACTTAATTAAAAATGGACAGATTAGTAGTAATTAAGAAATTTCCTTTTTCATCCATTCTGTTTGGAGAAATGGATCCTTTGCCATTATCTTTACAGTAACCATCAGTTATGACATAAATTCATGCTAATGTTAAATCTTGACAACTTCTGCTTTGAAATTTTATACATGATAATTATAACTGTAGTTTAAAGAGTGTTAGCAAGTTGTCTGGGACTAAATAGTTCCTTCTTTTCCTGTGTAGAAATATTAATTTACTATAAAATATTTTAAGGATATAAATATCAGAAATATATTGCTCTTATGGAAGAGATTGTATAACTTAGCTTTTATAGTTAAATCCATTTATGAAACACTGGTACAAAGACTCCAATAGAGCTCTTACATATTCTAATGAATGTGAATAACTGAGTAATTATGAAAAAAACTAATCTACAGAAGCTATAATTTTGTGAGTTAGTCTTCACTTGTTCTAAGAAAAGGGAAAAACTGCGTTTTTTAATTCTCTAAATGGTAGTGAAGTATTGTAAGCATTTAGATTTATTTTCATATTAAACATGTATTTATAATAGGTTGCTGTTTTTAGACTTTACATATTATCAGTCTTTTAATTTTGTTGCTCTCATAATTTTTGAGTAGGAGTTATATTTTGTAATGAATTCAATTTATTAGTTGCTGGAAATAAGTAGGAAAGTCTTGGAAGAATTTATGTAGAGTTGTAAGTTTACTATTTTGTAGAAATCATGGAAACTAATAGAAGTGTAATAAAGCTTTATGTGTCATAGATTACCAGGTGACTATGACAGGTAGAGATATATCTCAAGCTGTTGGCAAAATTCTGTGCTTTTTTTTGGAGGGGGGGGTCCTAGTCTTTCTTTACAATTTCATTATTAAATTATAAATTTGATTCTTGTCTAACTTAATTTGGCATGTAGATAACCTGTATTATTTTCTGAAAATATAGTAACACTGTAAATTGTTTCTTTTTTCTGTCTTTTTTTTTTTGGTACCAGAGATACAACTCAGGACCTTGCACTTGCCAGGAAAGGCAAGGCGCTACTGAGTTAGTTACATCCCCGGCCCATCTGTTTTTCTTTTTTTGGTACCAGGGATTAAACTTGTTTTTCTTTTTAAGTGACACAAAAATATAATAGTTATTATAAGATACATGTAAACATTATATTTTCTATAGAAAATACATTTAAGTATTAGCATATTTCTTACTGGGTTGGAGTTACTTCTTTCTGGATCTGATGATGCCTTTCTCTTGTTTATTCCAATTTCAGTGAAATCTTGGAGATGATGCTTTTAAACCTTTTATATCTGTAGTTCTCATTCTGCCCTTGCATTTTATTAAACTTACAATTTTAGGGTGAAAATCATGGGAAGCATTGCTCATGATCTTCTAGTATTTTGTTGGTGGGGTTTTTATTCCTTTTAGATGACTTGAATTTCTTTTCTGTTAACTTTTACGTTTGGGTCTTTATGCCTAGTATGCTAAAACGTCACAGTAATGCGATGCTGAACATTGAAGGGTGCTGCTTCTACATTCCTTCCACAACCTCCTATTAGGTAGTGGCAACCCCATGTCGTTCTTTCACTAATGGTTGAAGAATAAGCATGTAATCCAGGTGAAGAACACTTATAATGTAGCATTCTTCTGTCTATAATTATTGGGTCAGGAATAGTTTTGTTAACTTTTGTTGGTTGTAACAGAATGAAGGCTAAGATAACGGATGATGGACAGAAGATAAACTCTTTCTCTTGTGTAGAGAGATAATTTGCTCCTTTTGATTTTCTCTATTCCCCTCTTCTGATAATCTTACTGGTCAGATACTAGGCTTTGCAGATTAGATCTCCGTCTGCTTGTCTTTTCTCACATATTTTTAATCTTTGTGTCTTTTTGTTGTACATTCTGTGAGAATTTCTTTTTAAATCTCCCTACTTTGTTGAATTCTTTTTATTTTAGCAATTGTATTTTCAATAGCTAAGAACTTTTCTTGTTCGTTTCATATAATAACGTTTTTTTCTCTCTAGAGGCAACATCCCTACATCCTTCTTAAAATATAAATAAGAGAGTTTAAGCATTATCTTTTACTCACTGAAATTTTAGTGTTTTCTTCTCTTTTATATTGTAGACTTTCCTCAAATGTCGTTTGCCTGTACTGATGTGAGAGTAGAGAAAGTGGAAGATATGACTATGAATATTTTTGATTTTAGTTTTTCCAGCCTTGTATTTCACACTTGTTGCACCTAGAGTTCAGGATAGTTATACTTTGGTATTCATATGCTTTGAAACTCTATTTGATGCGAAAAGTTTGTCCTTGGACTCATCATTTGTTTGTTACTCTATGAGCAAGCGAGACGTTGTCAGTGTCAGTTGTCAGTTAGTTGCCTTGTGACTTTTTGCCTTTTCCAGTTGAAAAAATTTGTCTGGTACTTATCACTTTGGGTACTTGTCCTGCCTCCTGAAATCAATTAATAATGAGTACCAAGGTACCACTGTAGTATGGCTCAGTTTGTTTCCTAAGAAAAGAACACTTGTTTTTTTCCTGAATACAGCACATTACATCTTCCTGTGCTGATGTATCCATCATCATTCCTTCTTTATATCTTTCTGACTAAAGGAGTTAATTAAAACCCTTTAGCATTTGTGACTCCCTCCTGTTCTTGATTTTCAAGGATTATGCCTTTGTTTTCATTTTAAGAGAATCTCATAATCCTGAAACCTGTGTTAACATCATTCTAATGAAAAATATCTAATATTCTTTCCTAAATTGAATGTTCAGTTTCAGTTACTGTTTTCTAGGGTTGTGCCCTTCTGTGTGCCCTCAGCCAGTGCTATCCCTGACTACTTTATAGCCTGAGGGCTTGTCATATTCCATCCTTGCTCCAGAATTCCCTCTGTCCATATACCCCTGGACATGACAAATATCCAAGCCTAGCTATATCCCTGACCATACGAGCAAATGAAAAAAGCAAACAGACCACTGAGCTCTGTGTTGGAAATTGGCAGCAAGGGATGCAGAGTAGTCCTCTAGACTCAGTCCCAGGGCTTTCAGACTGAGCCCCCTTTGAAAACTACCTGGCTTTTTACCATAGAGAGTGGAATCTACAGGCTGAGCTCACTGCTGCTTAACTTCTTAGGTGGTCTGTGACTAGCTTGCACACTCTATTGACTGTCTCTCTTGACCTTCTCCACGCAGTCGTTCATGGCAGGTAAGGTGACTCCAGAGATTCTGAAATTCACTTGCTCTGTGACTTTGATTCCTGGAGAACTCAATCT